CGGGGCCTGGGTGCGCTCGGGGACGATCGGACGCAGCGCGGGAGCGCGGCAAGTTTGAATCTCGCAGAGAATCAACCGCGATATGAGAGTACGGGTATTGCTGTAGGGTGCAACGCACATATGCAGACCAGCTTGCATGGCCTTGATGCGTGCACAGCGATGGAAACAGGTGCTGTTGCTGCGCTTGGGAAGCAGGCAGCGGCAGCGCGCGCAACACCCACCTGCCCTCCGCCAACCACAACCAAACACGGACACAAACACCACGCCACCATGTTTGCAATGTCCGCAGAACGCTTACTGAGTCGGCCAGCTGCAGCGCTGCGATACAACACATGTTCTTGTGCAGGTACAAGTCGTACCACAACATCCTACGCGCTCGAAACCACAGCTCAACGCGAAACCGAGCAGTCCATCCCCAGAGCCTGCCAGGATTTCGTGTGTGTGCCTTTCGCGCACAACAAGTCCCCAACTGCGTGCGGAACAGCATTGCCAGGCGTAACCAACCGCAACAAGGGGCAGGACGGACTCGGGGCTGCTGACCTGTCGTCAGATGACGGCATGTTACAGCATGCAGGGCCTCAGAAAACTCACTCAAACCTTGCGGGCAGGTGTGCAAGAGACAAAGGGAATGGGGCCCTCGCTCCAGCGCGCCTGCTGACAGCTGCGCGTGCTGCAGTGAAGCACCACTGCTGCAGTAGTGCCATACCCCACCTGATGCACAGATTGGCAAAAGTTACATGTTTGCGTCAACATGCATTGGAGCATGGTAATAAATCACTGCCGAGCGCCCAGTATAAGTACTCCGACACCCAGCGCGACCGCGAAACAATCACTGGGCGGCGCGCAACAACACCAGACTTATACAATCCTAGAATTCGTCCGTGCAACAGTCCAAAAGATATCAGCCGCGCATGCCACTTTCCCAGGGTCACCCGCCAGGGTGAGACACGCAGCGCACCATGGTGCACTTGCCGCAGTCCAGCCGCGAATGCTGCAACGCATCAACCCGATGCGCAGCCGCCCACTCAGAATGACAACGATGCTGTCCAAAAAATTCACAAATGGGACATGCCGGGAGATAACCGCACTGGGTTGACAAACAGGGACAGGGACAGGACCGCGACGGCAGTTCTCCTAGGTGTGCTTTGGTGGGCAGCCGCAAGGTGGAGCAACAACAAACGCCGCAAGAGGCGTATGTGGAAGATAAACAGGACGCGGCTGCCTATTATAATAATGCTGATGGCATACCCCTGCGGGGCGGCGGCTGCCCCAACGCTCTCGAACATAGCTCACCTTGCAATGCCCGAGATGGCAGCCGCAGCAATGGTAATGATGCTGGCAGTCGCGCCCTGCCTCCAGGGAGCCCTGGCAGCAGCATACAGCACAGCGGCGGCTGTCTTCGCCTTGAGAAGGCGCCGCGCTTGGGGGGAAAGAGTGTGCAAGCTCCAGGAGGCAGCGGCACGAGGCCAGGCTTCCATACGCTGGTCAGCACCCGCCCACCCATGTGTGCCCGCACCGCTGGCCATGCTCGCGCCCACGTACCAGCGCAACAAGAGCCAGGAGGTAGTGCGTGCCCACGCACTGCACGTGGTGCGCACAGCCATGCGAGTATCGCAAGGGAAGCAGCCTGCGCTGTCCGCAGCAATATACAAACTCACAAGCAACACGCCCCATGCTCGCAAGGGCTGGCGCCAGCCGCGCAAAGGATCTTACCATGCAGCGTGGCTCGGCCGCCACATCCCAAGCGCCCACAGCACCTATCGCGTCCTCCAAGCATGCCAACAGGCCCTTGTCAACATGACCCCCGGCGCCTCCTTGCCGGCGCATGCAGCGCGCTCACACGTAACTGGTGATCATCACAAAATCCCGGCACCGCCCTCTTCCGGGGAGGGCACCCAAAACAGGGCGGGGTGCGCCATCAGCACCGCTGCCCGGCCGCAACCCGGTGTGCAGCCAGTGACGACGCCCGCCGGACCGGGAGCGCTGCGTGGCGGCGGCCCGGCGCGACTCCACAGGGGGCGGGCCCCGCGAGGCCAAGACGACCGCTGGGTCCAGCCGCCAGCTGGAACATACTGTGAGGCGCAGGAGCAAGGCTTCTGCGGGGCGCATGCGTTGAACGCGATGCTGGGCAGACGGGCGATACCTGGAGAGGGGATGGTACGCTATATGCGTGAACACTGGCCAGCAGGGGAAGAGGCAGGCCACTATACAGGAGAGGGGTGGTTTACCTCCGAAGCCCTCAACAGGTGGCTGTATGAACACACACCGCCAGAGCTACATGTGTCCATTCACCCCCTGCTATTGGAAATGGAGGGCCCGGGCAACCTGACAGGCACAGAGCTGCAGTGGCGTCTAGAACACCATGGGTGTGACTGTGCACTGGTTCACGCACCCGACCACTGGATCGCCCTCGTGCAATGCGCTGACGGGCAGTGGTATGAAGCGGACTCTATCCCGTTCGGCGTCAACGGAAACAAAATCAAAAGGATGACCGACGCTGACTGGGAGTATGGCGTGACCACGGGGGGCTGGACCGTCAACGTACTGGCCCCCATCGACGCCGCCCGCGCCCAAACAATTGGCGCACAACCTGGCAGGGGGGCGGGAGGGGCAGAGCGCCCCCCCGCGGACTTTGTGGCGGTGCCGCTCGCCCAGCTGCGGTCGGCCGTTAGCGCAGCCCCCACCCGCAGCGCCGGGGCGAATGCGATGCCCACGAATGCGGCCATCGCACGCCGCGCAGAATTTGAAAAGCGCAAGGCCTCAGAACTGCACAGCCGCAGAGACGCATCAAGAGAAATAACAAACCGCACGGATTCGCGGGGGACTGAGGGCGCCGCGGCCCGAGAGGAGGGGCAGCGGCGACTGACACCGATGACCGCCGTCGCCCCGCAAGCCGCGAACGAGGGCGCAGCGGCGGTCGTGGGACGCGCGCCTACTCAGCAGGGGCCGGTACTGAGGCCAAAACGACGCGAGTTCGCCCTCAAATATTGTGCACCAGCCCATAAGGGGGTCTCAAAACATGCAGGTCAGAAACGACGGATGGTGATTCAAACCGACGCGCGGCAGAAGCGCATCACCGACCTCTGGAAATTCAAGGCAGTACCTGCTGCGGCACTCGTGCCTCCTACAGCAGGGGTGCCTGAGACTGCAGAGATGGACAGTAGTGGCAACGCCACAGGAGAGCCGCGCAAGCAGGCTCACGCAACCAAAGCGCCCGCCCCAGTGCCCGACCCAGCACCTGCTGTTGGTGGAAGAAACTCAGCAAAGAGAGAACGCCAGCGTACGCGGCGGCAGGCAGCTCGCGCGCTCAAGGAACGGGCGGAACTGGACCGCGCCGCCGCCATGCGCCAGGACCAAAAAATACTCGACCGCACTACAAAGCTCTCTGTGCTGACGCTGAACGTGCAAGGAATCGGCACATTCTCAGGCCACCTGCGCGACCTCATGGCCAAGACAGAGCATGCGCCGCCCGACATTATTGTACTCACAGAAACCAAGCAGACTTGCAAGAACCGCATACTCAAAAAGCTGCTCACCCCCTTATTACATGGCTACAGCTATGCATGCTCCGCCGCTCCTCTTGAAAAAGACAGGGG